TATTATTATTATTATTATTATTATTATTATTATTATTATTATTATTATTATTATTAGGAACGGGAACTCACCCCATTATGTGGCACCGAATCTTGAACCCGGGCTGACAGCTGACAATCTCAGCATCTTTTAACACCTGAGCCATCACATCCCCGAACATTCTATACTTGTGGCAAAATTCTACAGCAAAGTTACAGAGGTGAACAGCAGTACCAAGCTGTGGAGAATACTGTAAACCATAAGACTTTTTTCAGATGTCAAGGAGGAAGGAAAACAAGGGGAGGCTACCTTTGTAGTAGCCAGAGCCAGATTGAAGATGAGTTCTTGGTTTCATGTCTTTAACCTGAATGGGGCTTCCTCATGCCTGGATATGCAAGATGTGTGGCTGAGTTTGTAATACAAAAGTACCTAAGGTAAATAAGCTCACTCTTTCTCTTCTCTGCTCTTGTTAAGGTGTTTCATAGATTGCTAGGGACAGCTGGTCAAGGGGAGAAAATCTTTTAACATGTCTTTGGTTGACCAAAAGACTCTCCTTTGTTCACTTGCTTTTAATGTGTCAGAGGCAACAGGTGATTCTTTTCATGTTTCCATTAAAAGTCCTGTTCAACCATTTTGCTTTATTCTCCTTTGTTTTCTCATATCAATATCCAAAACATGGCCAGAACCTGCAAAAGAATGTAGGATAGAAGTTAGAATGGCTATACATCCTGCTCACACAAAACATATAAAACACATACAAACTGCCCACACAGAGATGATTCAAATTTTCTCCTCTTTTCTTCCTTACATAATAATAATAATAATAGCCTTTTTTCTAAATTTACATTTCTTAAGAAATTTATACACACTATCAAAGAGCAAGTTTTGTTCAAGTTTTATTATCCGGATAAAATACTCTTTTCTCAAAGTGTATCTTAGCAAGTTGTGAAATAATCCCATCATTTCAATGAGTGAAATGATCAGGACATTTTGTCAAAGTTATCATTTTTTTTGCCCATCTTGAATCTCAATTTTCATGATTAAATGCTCTGTATATCATATATCAGTATTTTCTTTTTTCATAGTTATTCCTATATTGACAATACATAATATCTCTGATAATTGTGAACACACTAATGAATTGACAAAAATCAAGATCAATTATAATTTGAAATGGTTTCTGTATTTGTGTGGGTCTTCTATCTGTCTGTCTATCTATCTATCTATCTATCTATCTATCTATCTATCTATCTATCTATCTATCTATCTATCTATCTATCCCCCTCTCTCTCTCTCATCTCTTGCATTTGTAATCAACTCAACTCGTCCCTAAACTTTTGCTAAAATGAATAGGGTAATAGGAATGATTTGATGTTTATAATTATCAACTTTAATCTGAGCTACAGAGTGATCAGCAGAGAAAAAACAAAATCTACTACATTTATGCAAGTTTGTCATCAAGGTCTATATAAAAATGGAGTCTTCAGGTGACAAAAATCAAAATTACCATCGTGTATTTGACAAAGCACAGTTGCAGAGTTGGTTTCTGCTATGGCCAACAAGAAGATTTCATTGAAAGGTATGTCTTATTTGTTATTCTTTTCCATGTTTTTTTCTGAATAAGAGTAATTTTGTAAAAAAAGTAATAACACAATTTTGACTAATAAAAATTAAGCATTTTGCAATCTGTTATGTAAGGGAAATATATACTTTAGAATTAAAAAAACTAAGAACTTGTGGAAATCCTATTAAATGAATGGGAATTCCACAAGACCGCGTTATGTCCTTAAGGGATAGATTATATCCGTGGTTTAGCATTATTCTATATACTAAAGAGAGTATCAGATATTTTCAGTGCTTTCAATTTATTTAAAAATAAAACTGTTACAGTGCTGCTTTTCTGGACCATTCCAACCAAAATAAAGCACACCCTATGACTGACCAATCAGACATAAATTGAAAGCTAATGGAGCACCCAAATGGAATACTGTATATAAGATTACTCTTTGTTAAGTATTTCTAAGAATAAAGACCTGCTTAAGATGATAAAATGCTTTTCCCATGCTACCTAAATATTAAAGACTTGTGTATGTTGGTATTGTATATTCTAGTGTATTCAATGTAATTTACTCCATGTGTGTGTCTATAGAATATTGCAATTTGCAGTGAAGTTGATAGACTCAAGTTACAGTGACAATGGGTGCACTATTGGAAGACCTGAAAAATCAGGTTAGAGAAAAATTGTCAAGGAGAAAATCTATCTATGATACCAACTCCATGGCATAAATATTATCAACCAATCTGTACAGAGTTTAATTATGTTTGGCAGTAGTTCCTTTCCATTCTTTGCATTTTAAAAGAGAACTTTAGAGGTTCAACTAGTTCCCATAAAGATACTACACTATTGTTGTAGTTTGGACATAACTAAACTATGGACTCACTAGTCCTACAAAAGGTTTTCCAAAGCAAGGTCCAGGACCAGTTTCACATAATAAACACAATGCTGGGTATTGAAGAAAAAAATAGAGTGCTACAATACCAGTCTAAAGTACTGAATTCAGAGCAGGGAAAACTACCATGTATTTGATCAGAATGTTTGTTCATGTAAGCAATGTTTTCTATTTTAACTGGGTATGGGGCTGCATAGTGTAAGACTGAAATCTTTCTGATTCGTTATATATGATTTATTTAATGGGAACTGTAAAAGTCTGAATCCTGGGATTTCCTCTATGCTCAGGATTTGCTGCACCACCAGGCTGTAATTTTTTCCCAAGAAATCAAACTTAGCTTCTGCCAACATAAAATTTATTCATTTGGTACATGCTCTTACCACACTCATTTGCTTTTGTAAAAAACAGGGCATAGAACATTGTCTAATCAATATACTGATTTATCAGTAATTAATTTTAAAGATTTTGTATGAGACATAATCTCAAGAGATCTTTGGCTCTCTTACGATATTCAGCACCAACTTCCTTAAAAGTTGTTCACGCCAAAGACTTTAAATAGCACAGCTGCTGAAAAATTGCAGGCAGCACCCCAAGACAATCTAAAATCTAGATAGTGACCTACTTACCTTCCCTCAAATTTAATTTTAAAACCATATGTTTGTCAAGAAGGAAGTCACTCTTGGAAACAGCTATAAAGGAAAGGTGTTTAACTACACTTCCACACTTTTACACTTATTGTCGCTATGATTATTGTTATTACATAGTTTATATCCTACCTCGGCTAAGATGAAAAGGTTGAATTCCTCAGATATGGTTATTTAAGAAGTCAAGTATTAAAATAAGAGGTGACGGAATACCAAATAGAGTTTTCTTTTTTCTTGATTTACTTCATTTTATGGGTATCTGCCTTTTTCTTTTTGTCTTCAAGGCCTGTTTCTAGCCACCATGCTGCTGGCTAATATGTTCCTTTCAAGGAAGTGTGTAACATCGTCACCCATTTGCCCTAATGGGTCCGACAACTGCCAGGTTTCTCTTGGGGACCTTTTTGACCGGGCCGTTAAACTATCCCATTATATCCACTCTCTGTCTACTGAAATATTCAATGAATTTGTAAGTAATTTTGGTATAAGGAAAAAACTTACCATGTGTTCCTGAACAACAACTCCAGGCATCCCTTGTCATTGTCAGTTGTAATCATTTCTGGACATGCCAGGAATTGTAGATTAATAATGTCTAAACTACCTCAGGTTGCCCACTAGTACTTTATGAAAGTAATTATGATTTTTAACCGTGGTTTTCTTATTTCTTCTGGTTCCGTTTCACAATGGGTAAAATGTAAAGTATTTGCTCAGTGTTTATTATCTATTTAGAAATGTAATTTCATAAGGCAGCCTTTATTATTGCTAGGTTGCATCACGTAAATATTATTGCTTATTGAAATTAAAAGATTCTTAAACTACAGGTAGTCCTCGACTTACAAAAATTCGTTTAATGACCATCTGAAATTACAACGGCACTAAAAAATCAAACAAACTTATAACTGTTCTTCACACTTACGACTGCAGCAGCCCCGTGGTCATGTGATCAAAATTCATACACTTGGCAACTGACTCATATTTATGGCAGTTGCAATGTCCTGGGATCATGTGATCCCCTTTTGCAACCTTCTGACAAGCAAAATCAATGGGGAAGCCAGATTCACTTAAGAACAGTGTTACTAACTAATTCTCTTAACAACTGTGGCAAGAAAAGTCCCGGGTGGCACAGTGGTTGGAATACAGTACTGCAGGCTAACTCACTGCTTACTTCAGGAGTTCGACTCTGACCGGATCAAGGTTGATTCAGCCAGCCATCCATCCTACCGAGGTCAGTAAAATGAGGACCCAGATTATTGGGGTAAATATGCTGACTCTGTAAACCGCTTAGAGAAGGCTGTAAAGCATTGTGAAATGGTATGTAAGTCTACATGTTATTAGTATTGCTAAAATGGAGCAAAATTCACTTAACAACTGTTTTGCTTAGCAACAGAAATATTGGGCTCCATTGTGGTGGTAAGTGGAGGACTACCTGTATTTGTGAAAAAGTTATCAAAGCCCCATAATAAAACAAGCTACACAAGCTTTTAAGTGGATTTCTAGACTGGAAGCCAACAAGATATTATATTTCATATACAGAGTTTTCAGAATCTGCTTCAATACACTTTTCATCAGTGAAACAAGTCTACCTCTATTCCTTTTAAAGTTGGATGTCCTATTATTTCTTAAGGCGCAAGAGTAGGAAATGGGATGGGGCAGATAGTTACATCTCATTAAATAGATCCATTGTAGTGAAAGCTTCATCTACCCCGGGGAACTGAACCTCAACAAAGGATGTGGAAGAAGGAAAACATTGTCTTCTGTACACAGAAGTCATTTAAAGTAACAAAATGAAAATGTGCAAGACTAAGTAACAAACGTCCAAGTGAAAGGTTTGCTCAGAGAAAAATAACTAAATGCATGCAAGAAAGCTATTTTGGAGTATGGCAGAAAATATACTCTCTGAGGAACTGTGGGATGTGGGCCACTTTATACCATAAACAGCTTTTATTAATATCTGGGCCACTTTATACCATAAAGAAGCTTTTATTGTTATGAAAAAACTACGGTGCTTAAAATTGATTTCCTTTCACAGTATACAAAGAGGCAGATCACCTTTGACTAAGTCATGCAATAAAGTTGGGAGACAAAATTAATGCCCTCCATAACTCTAGGATACATTTTACAAAGCAACCAATGAAAACAAGAATCAGTCTATTCTTTTTCAAAAATCCTGGTTATCTACTTGACTAAATGTCATCTTTGTTTACTGTTAGGATGAACGCTATGCTCAGGGCCGGGGTTTTATTGCAAAGGCCGTTAACAGCTGCCATACTTCTTCCCTAACCACTCCTGAAGATAAAGAACAAGCTCAGCAGATACATGTAAGTTGTCTCGGTTTGTTGACAGATGTGTGCAAGTTCACCAGAAATCTGATGAAATCCTTTCAAAGCATACAGTTACCATAGATAGGGTTATAAAGGGCAGCTTTACCATTGCTCCACCTCTGTAAGTGGTAGGAATAAGCAAAGCACAAAACAAGGAAGCATGCTCTGACCTATATGAACAAAAACGAAAGACAATACAAAACAAGATTGTCTTTCACAAGGCTGGAAAAATCCAGGGAGCATTGATGAAAGAATCTCCTTTATCTGTCCTAAGAAGAGATGGGAAGACGGTATATTTGTGTGAAGAAAAGCATAAACAATAGACTATAGATTAAATAGTCTATATATTCCCTAGCAGGAAAGAAAAATAGATCTGGCAAAAATGGAAAGATAATTTTAAAAGGTCAGGGGCTAGAACACCATATTGCAATGGTCTCTTGATCACAGAGGTTTCCTCAGTGTTCCAGTTTTGGAAATAAAACATACCTTATTGAATAATCATATTAAAAAAAAGTTTCTACTCTGTGCACTTGAAGAGGAAATATTTGGAATGCTAAGGTGTCGCTTGAGATCCCATTCCTCCTTTTGATTCAATTTCAAATGCCATTCATCCACTGAATAATCTCCCTTTTCAGAAACCAAAACATGTGCCACAAATATTTGAGATATGTATGTGTCTGGCATTTATCTATGTTTGCATGGGCTACTTGGGATGTTTGAGCCTTTCAATGTAGCAGCACAATAGCAATTCTCCCAAGAGAAGCAGGAGGAAATTTATGCCACAGAATAGATGCGTTTTGCTATGTAAGGAAAGTGAAAAGTGATTGTGTCAACACTGGAGAAGTCTCAAGGACAGCACAATGGCTAGGAGGATCCTAGGAAAGCCAAGAGCCCTTTGATCTTTCAGCTCACCCCAAGCAGTGGCAAAGTTTCAAAAGAAAAGAAATCTTCCCAGAAGCAAAACACTTGAAATCAGCCTTATGTCTGGGCATGTTTGCAGGATTTGATGTAGACACAATAAATGCTTCGGGATGAGATATTAAGTGGCCTACCACAGATCACATCTTCCATTATATCTTCAAATATTTTCTAGATCCCTTATTTCTAAAAATGTATCATTAATGCTTAGGCTAATCTTTGGATTAAATGACATTTATGCAACAAAGATGAATGGAGTGATTTCTACTGGCAGCACAGATAATTTACTGATAGCGTGATATTTAGGGCACTCTCTTGTCTAGTTACATTTAACAAAAAAAAGGCCTTGCAATTGCACTATAGTCTGTAGTTTAGCTATATCTGATAAATGGACAGGTACAAAATTGCAGTAAGGACATTTTAAGGTAAGTTTGATTTAAAAAAATGTTCCATATCTCCTGGGTAGATTTTGCACACTAACTGTACAATTCTGTTGCCAATGAACAGCATGAGGACCTATTAAATCTAGTTTTGAGTGTACTCCGTTCCTGGAATGACCCTCTATTACATCTGGTCTCTGAAGTTGAAAGAATCAAGGAAGCTCCTGATACCATTCTCTGGAAGGCCATGGAGATTGAGGAGCAAAATAAACGGCTTCTTGAGGGGATGGAGAGAATAGTTGGACGGGTGAGTCAAAAAATCCTCTGAAGTTCTTCCAGCTTCATAACACTATTCAGAATGTATAAAATGAGACAGATTTTTTTTTGTTTGTTTGGATTAAAATGCTTCAAAGAAAGAAAGTAAGAAGTTAAAAGTGTCAGCAAAACCTTTCAGATCTGGAGATCTGTTTGGCATCTATAAGAAGTAGCAAAACATCTTGATCTTTACTAAAAAAAAAAAGTTATGAAGTGCCAAACAACAAAGCATAAAGCTGATTTTGTAATTTTTCTTAATACTAAAAAAGGGACATGGCCCAACCTAGACTGAGAATCATCAAACAGGTTAGAACTTTTATCTTGCCTCCTATCTTATATTTTATAAAATTAACATTATTCCCCTGCACATGAAAGTGCTGAAAAAACAATAACTTTCATTAATGCGATTTTTTTTCTTTTTAACACTTCCTTGCAGAGAGGAATGTAATCTTTCCCTTGGCCTCTACAAGCTAAGACTAAAAAAAAAAAAGATGAGTTTACAAAAAAAAACCAAACCTCAAAATCAGCTGCACATTACATTCTTAATATGTCATATAGTTAGTTTGAAAGAGGTCAATAATTTTTTTTAACATATGTAGGTATGTGTCTTAGAAAAGTAACAAAATGAGCAAGTCTATGCCATGAATGAAGGCAATAAATAAAAGTTGTTTTATATCTAGTACATACTTTGTACATTAAAAGTGTTAAGTTAACATTCTTTCTTTCCACACTTGTTTCCAAATTCTCCTTATTAATTATCTTAATTTCTAATGTGTCATATTCAAAATCTACTGTGAAAATGAAGGACAGTATTTGAAAGTAAAACACATCAAAGTAGGCATTTCTAAGCAATTTTAAAAACAAGATGCACGCCATCATTTCCTTTTCATGTTTGCATTTTCTTTCAGCCATTGAAATAGCTACTTTTTTCAGAAAGACACCCATGCAGCATTTTCTATGTAAAAATTAAATACACCTAAAGAAGCAGCTATCCATTCTGACTGAGCAAGGGCACTAAAATCCATTCTAAGCAAATACACTAAACTTTTTTCACAACCATATTGTATGTAGGGAGTTGTATTTGCTGTTTTCCTTGATCTACCAGGAGCAGGCTAATATGACTGCCTTCCATCCTCAAATTAGTGCAAGTCATGCTTACAACACTTATCTGAAAATGTCTGCATGTTCAAGCATTTCAGATTATCATTACTGGCCAATGTTTCACTAGCACACATGAGTTCTAGATTACTAATACCTAGATGGGATCCTGACAAGCCCTACTGTGTTTTTCAGTTAGTTACACAACATTAGGTGGAATGCTTCTCTTTTGCCATATTAAAATATTCAGCCTATAATCCCCCCAATCCTAGAATTAAAGTATTCGTCCTTTAGACTGGTGGTGAGATTTTTAGGTTGCCTCTGTTGAACTGCCAAATGATAAAAGTTGGATATAATATCTACAGAAAATTTTCCCAATCTAATGCTCAACACTGTCTAAACATTGTATATGTTGGTACAAGATGTTTTGAATTGAATTAGAATAGAATAGAATAAAAAATTTATTGTTACTTTAAATGAACACTAATCAGCATACATTAAAATGAAACTTCGTTGCATTCAGCTCTCAAAAAAACCCCATTATGCGCACACACACACACACACACGACACAGGGAAACATCACAGTCTAATTTGAATGTATACGTACATGGCAAAAAAAAACCTTGCGAATTTACAAGACGGATGGCATAAGGAACAAAGCTGTTACAGAATCTAGTAATTCTGCTATAAATACTTCGAAACCTCCTCCCAGAGAGGAGCAATAGAAGCAAACCATGAAGTCTAACAATGCTTCAAGCTCTAAGCGCATAGTGCTTATAAGCAGTATCCTGCATGTTCAAGCATTTCAGGTTATCATTACTGGCCAATGTTTCACTAGCACACATGAATACTTTATTTGGCCAAGAATTAGACAGACAAGGAATTTGTCTCTCGTACAAAAATACTCAGTGTACATGCAAAGCAACAGAATAATAACAATAACAATAATAATGCCGATAAAAAGGGGAGTAAAGAAGATAATAAAAAGGATAAATAATAGTACAACCACACGACATGGGTTAATAGATATTAGGCAACACTGAGAGATTTAAGTATTCAACAGAGTGAACATTTTACTTATAGTGTATTTCACCAAAAGAAACACTTTTTCGTAATACAAGTTCATGAAAAGATATATATACAAAATAATTAGAATGCACTTTGCACATTAGAGCTGCAAAGTAAACAAGTAAGACTTGTATGTTTGCCTACTTTCACCAATCAAAGGCTTTTATTATAGTGTGAAGCAAATACAATATTACCCCAGGAATTTATCTTACCCTGCTTGAATTACTGGGCATTTTAAGATCTAAGCAAAGATCTACTCAGATTCCAAATTACTATCTGATAATTCTTCAGTCATGTTACACCTCTCTAAGGCAGGGGTGCAAAAGGTACGGCCGACAAGCATTTTTGATACAATCAAAGCTGATTGAACCAGACATTTTGACTCCCTTTCTTAATATATATACATTGGAAGATGATGAGAGACAGTTTGGTGCACCAAACTGAGAGACCATCAGTTCTAGTCCTACCTTAGGCACAAAGCCAGACTGAACTTGGGCCAATCCTTCTCTCTCAGTCCTGGTAAGAGGCAATGGTAAACCACCTCCAAAAATCTTGCTAAAAAAACAGAAGGAACTTGTTCAAGCAGTCACCAGGAGTACATACTGATAACAAAACTATCTATATCTATATCTACTGTATATCTATATATCTATCCCTATCTGTATCAGTAATCCTTGTTTATCCATTCATTCAGCAACCTTTCAAAATTACAACAGCTTTGAAAAAGGAGACTTAAAGTGACTGTCACAGCACACACACACACACACACACACACACACACATCATGAGATTGTGATCTGTGTGCTTGGCAACTGATTTGCATTTATTATGGCTGCAGTGTCCTCCAATTGCATTTGCTATCTTCGTTGCCAGCTTCCCACAAGCAGAGTCAATGGGGAAGCTGGCAGGAAAGATCACAATCACTCTGGTAAATTGTTTACACCATTCCCCACTCAGCAGCAGCCACCCCTGACCCCGCTGCATTTGTGCCACACCTTGTGAACCATTCATGCACCCTCTATACCTGGCAGCAGGCACCCCCAATCCTGCCACACTTGCATTGCGTGTTGCACTTTACCTGCCTGCCTGACTGTGAGCCACCGAGGGCTCATTTAACAACCCACAATCCTTGCTCGGGGATGACAACGGGGATTGCCAGGATTGCCATCGCTAAGTGGTGCAGTCATGTGACATTATGTTTTATATGACCACATCACTTAGCAAAGGAAATTCTGGTCCCAATTATTGTCATTAACTGAGGACTATGTATATGTAATCTACAGATAGTATCTGTTGAAAGAGGGGGATATTTTAGGAGCAAAATAATTATCTTAAACCTGGAGCATGTTTAAAGCACACATTTTATCTAATAGAAGGGAGCACGTTTTATCTCTTAAGAATCCCTCTAGTTCGCTTTGCCTCACCAATTTTGGGAGTGTAGCTTACTGAATGGGTTTGTGTGGAAGTTCTGAGTCTCTGCTCTGAAAATTGACCAAAATATATTGAGCAATTGTGAAACCATCAAGGTTTATTTTGACTTTGCATTTTCCTTAGGTTCACCCAGGTGACTTAGGCAATGAAGTCTATTCTAGATGGACTGGTCTCCCTTCCCTCCAACTGGCTGATGAAGATTCTCGCCTCTTCGCCTTCTACAATCTGTTGCACTGTTTGCGGCGGGACTCCCACAAAATTGACAACTATCTGAAACTCCTGAAGTGTCGCCTCATTCATGACAGCAACTGTTGAACAGCTGTGCTCTCACTTTATTAAAATGATAGCACCACATCTTTTTAAAATACTCTGCTTTTAGCCTCACTGCTTTTAGAAAATCTCAGCTTGCAAAAAAAAAAAAAAAAAGATTTAGAGGCCCATTATGCTCGCTTCTTTCTGGTTACACTGTTAGATAAACCATTATTATTTTTTTCTGTTCAGAGCACTTTCATTCAGATTGCAGCAATATTCAAACCAAGCAATAAAACATTGAAAATGCATGGAGGTTAAAATGTGTTTCTTAAAAGTTGGGATTGGTGTAAAACAAGGGGGCCCAGAGCTACGTGCAACTTCCAAATGCTTTTGATACAGTTCTTCGAACCCCTCCAAAATTGCCACCAAAATTATAGTTTTGAATATGATAAAAAGGGGGAAAGACTAAATACATTAATTTACTTTACAGGTAGTCCTCAGCTTATAACCACAATTGGGACTGGAATGTCTATCGCTAAGCAAAGTGGCCGTTAAATGAGTCATGCCAATTTTACAAACTTTTTTGCCGCCGTCATTAAGTGAATCATATGGTTAAATGAATCTGGTTTCTCTCATTGAATGTGCTTGTCGGACCTTTCCTGGGAAGATCACAAATGGTGATCACATGATCCCAGAACGCTGCAACCATTGTAAATATACGCAGGTTGCCAAGTGCCCGGTCAGTCACGTGACCAAAGGGACATTGTGATGGTCATAAGCACAAGGACTGGTCATAAGTCACTTTTTTCGGCACCATTGCAAACCTTGAACAGTTGTTCGTAAGTCGAAGACTCTCTAGAATTGCAAATTAAATAAAATCGAATTTAGTTCTTGTCCAGATCCCATCTACTCTTTGAGAGTCATCTCACAATATGGTATAAAAAGGCCAGGTATAGCTCTCAGCCATAGACCATTACCGACATTAGTGCATGTCCGATTTAAATCTCTTGAAATGCTGACTCCTTTAGTTAATACAGAATTACAGAGTTGTAAGGGACCTTGGAGGTCTTCTAGTCCAACCCATCTGACTTATGTGTCCTTTCATTGTTAAAAAATTTCTCATCTAAAGATGTTGCTAATTCTGAGGGGTCCAGAGCATGAGGTTCTCTTGAAAGCTCCCACATATATTCCTGATAATTTCTCCTCCAGTTTCTCTCCCCCTCACAAGACAGATCTGCCAAACCAGGTTGCCCCTGGCCATTTTCTGAAAGCCCTGTGTTCTCTAGTACAGGTAGTCCTTGACCTACGACCACAATTGAGCCCCAAACCTCTGTTGTTACTTGAGAAATTTGTTAGGTGAGTTTTGCCCCATTTTATGACTTTTTTGCCACAGTTCTTAAGTGGAACCCTGCAGCTGTTTAAGTCAGTAACACGATTATTAAGTGGCTTCCCCATTGGCTTTGCTTGTCAGAAGGTTGCAACTGTCATAAATATGAACCAGTTTCCAGGCAATCGAATTTTGATCATGTGACCATGGGGATGCTATAATGTTGCCAACTTTGTAGAGGTGCTGGAGACTGTGGAGCTTCTACACAAGAGGAGACAGTCCTACTCAGACGATTGGATTGCCATCATCTGGGCCAGACTTCTCTCCTCCAAGGAATACAGGTAGTCCTCGACTTACGACCACAACTGAGCCCCAAATTTATGTTGCTAAGTGAGACATCGGCTAAGTGAAGTTTGCCCATTTTATGACTTTTCTTGCCATAATTGTTAAGTGAATAACTGCAGTTGTTAAGTTAGTAACATAGTTGTTAAGTGAATCTGGCTTCCCCCTTGATTTTACTTGACAGATGGTCTCAAAAAGGGATCACATGACCCCCGAACACCGCAACCGTCATAAATATGAGTTAGTTGCCAAACATCTGAAGTTTGATCATGTAACCATGGGGACGCTGCAACGGTCGTAAGTCTGAAAAAAGTCATAAGTCGCTTTTGTCAGTGCTGTTGTAACTTTGAATGGTCACTAAATGAACTGTTGTAAGTTGAGAACTACCGGTAGTTAGTAGTTGATCTAAGGAACTAAAATTTAAGAGCTTTGTCTAACTTGGAATGTATAAGAAGGAAGATTAAAGTTATATCATAAAATGAGTACCCTATTTTCAAGTGAGACATTTATATATAGCAATTTAGGGAAGCAGAACTCTTGTCTGTTTCCTCTTGGGTTTTCTATGATTTGAAGTTGCAAGCTTGCCTTTTTTGTATGGGAGGGATAGTCTGCATCTATTCCCTATTTCAATTATTGTTATTCACATCGCTGTAAGAAGAAACACTTTTTTTTGTTGGCAAAAACTGTACTCATTCCTAAAATAACAGACCAAAATATATAAGACCTTCTATAGGAATCCATTGTCTTGATTCCGCTCTCAGTATCAGTGTCCAGTGTACTGGTACTCCCTGACTTATGACTAAAATTGAGCCCAAAATTTATGTTGCTGAGAGAGTTACGTAAACCTTGCCCCATTTTGCACCTTCCTTGCCACTGTTGTTAAATGAATCATCACAGTTAAGTTAGTAGCACAGTTCTTAAGTGAATCCGGCTTCCCCATTGACTTTGCTTGGCAGAAGGTCGCAAAAGGTGATCACGTGACCCTGGGACAGTTTCAACCGTCATAAATACGAGCCAGTTGCCAAGCATCTGAATTCTGATCATGTGGCCATGGGGATGCTGCAGCAGTTGAAAGTGTGAAAAACGGTCATAAGTCCCTTTTTTTTCAGTGCCATTGTAAACTTCAAACAATCACTGAATGAACTGTTGTAAGACGAGGACCACCCGTACCTAAATCAGACACAGACAGATTTTGAGACCTAGGAACAGTTATTATCGATGTTCATAATTTTATGGATCAATTGCACTCGAGCTACCCTATCAGAGATATTGGTGAAAGACAAGAAATGGGCAAAAGATGTATTGCATAGTCCAGGCTTTTCTCAATAAGACTTTTTTAATGCAATAAGACCACACTATCCTTATTCGATCTCCAAAGCATGTCTGTGCTGGTTTTACTCCCATGAGGCAATCAAAGTAATCTTCATTGTGTGTGCCAGAAAGAGTTTTTTACACAGAACTCTGCATAAACTCTCAAGTTTCTTAGGATATTAAGCTCTAAAGAACTTTTCCCCCAATATTTTGATTTCCAAATTCTGTAAAAAAAAAACCCGGATTGGCTTGATATAAATGCTGCTTTTTCATTTAAATTGATGACATTTTAATTTTAATCTCCATACTTCCACAGCACTTTGTTAGGCTTTCCTTTCCTGCAACCTTTGTGCATGCTTTCTGGTTTTAGAAGTGTCAAACAACCAAATAAAAGTGGTGAGTGTGCACTTACAAGCACTCTCGTGGGTGGAAACAGGAAGTCCTGATAATATTATGAGGGAATGGCTCTGTCCTTGGAAAATCTCTAATATATTGGTGCAGACAAAAGGACTTCGGTTGCTTTAGAGTAAAACTCTAGGTGATCAATCATCTTGATTCTGCCTTTTTTTTCAGTAGCTTGGTAGGGAATGCATCATTTTAAAGTGGGACTTGTCATTATGCACCTGAAGCCTGCATAATTAGCTTACTTGCCTACAGTACTTGCAGTGGGGCCAGTATGCTACAAAGATTCCTGCATTAAGAGTCATGTCTAGTGTCAACAAGGCAATATAATAGCAGACTCAGTAGTGAGACACACAATATTGTTAGCTGCTATATCAAGAAACAAAGCAAACATCTTAGCAGTTAGGAGTGTTACTGCTCATGGATTAAATAGATACAAAAAGTTCTTACCACAGTTTTACTGTGGAATCACTTGTCCCCGCATGAATGCCTACATCATATTTCAATTTTATGAGAAATTCAATTCCTAGTTTTGATCTAATTTATTAATGTATCCATTAATGTCTTATACTATCAATTACTAATTTATACCCTACAAGGAACCGAATATGCCTAATACATGTAGTCCTCAACTTACAACAGTTCATTTAGTGACCGTTCGAAATTACAACAGCATTAAAAAAAATGACTTATGACTATTGGCACTAACAAACATCGTGGCATCCCCATGGTCACGTGACCATAACTCAGATGCTTGGCAGCCGACTCACATTTATGACGGTTGTAGGTGTCTCGGGGTCATGTGATCCCCTTTTGTGATCTTTTGACAAGTGAAGTCAATGGGGAAGCCAGATTCACTGAACAACCACGTTACTAACTTGACAGCTGCAGTGATTCACTTAACAATTATGGCAAGAAAGGTTGTAAAATAGGGCAAACCTCACTTAACAAATGTCTCACTCAGCAACAGAAATTTTGGGCTCAATTGTGGTTGTAAGTCGAGGACTGCCTGTATGAGGCACCCAATACCATGGATGCATGGCTCATTTTCACAGGATTCCAAATAAGACATCATCTTTGCAAGCCTCAATATGTATTTACCATTCTTGTCATGTTACTCTTGAATGTGTAGCAAACCGGCTGTGACCATCAGCAATTGCTAATAATAAATAATGAAACATAACTGTAGCTGTTATAATTATTATTGTACTAACTATTAACTATTCCTTGGAGGTCCAATAATATCAATTTTAAATCACCCAAGTCTAAGTCAGACATTCATAAAGGAAAAGTCTGAATCTGTACATGTATATATATGCCAAAGTACTCTCTAAAACCTCATAACTTATTTTAATAATATAATGTCTGACAGTACCTAAGTTTATAGATGATCATGTAGCAATTTTTATATATTAAATTTCTAGATTACTTTAATCCTACAGATTCTAATGAGCAGACAGTTTATAGTTACAGGTAATATAATAAAACATTATGCAAAAATAACTAGGACAAAAATAAATGAGTAATTAATGCATTCTGGTAATAGCTCTACTCAGACTAATTAAAGTTCAAAGACCTTCCAAAATAGCCATATTTCTAATTCTAGATGTGACAGCAAAATATTTGTAAATTGTCAGCATATTTATTATGCAACAATGTTCAGGCTGATGTTTTCATGATTTTTTTTAATAAACATC